AATAATTTAATGTTAATTGTGTTCTGCAAATCTGTTTTCTTCTTTAGCTTTATCAGATTGTAAGACAGTGTATTAAACTTTCCCATAATGGTTGTGGAAATTGTCAATATTTTTTTCCCTTTCTTTATATCAAGGTTATGTTGTTTTATATGTTAGGTTCGTATACTTTACTGTTGTTATATATTCTGGTCTATTTATTACTTTTATCATTATATAATATTTCTTATTCTTGTCAATGATCTTTGGCTTAAATTCTCTTATAATTGTTATTAATGATGTCATACTTTCTTTTGGTTAGGTTTTGCTTGATAGTCAATTTTTTTTTATATATGGACTTTATTTTAATTAAAATTTATTGGGGTGACAATGGTTAGTAAAATTATATAGGTTCCAGGTGTACAACTCTGTAATACATGATCTATATTTCACATTGTGTGTTTTCACATTTAGCTTGTCATGTTGTTTTAGGTTTATCTCTTATAAGTAGCTTATGATTAGAATTTAAAATGTTTAATTTAATGTTTGATTTTTTTTAAAGATTTTATTGGGGAATTGGGGGAGGGAACAGTGTTGGGGAATCAGGAAGGGGAACAGACAAGTTGCTGTCCTTTTGTTCTTCAGTCTAGTTGTAGAGGATGGCGCTTCATGGCGTATGTTGGTATTGTGATCATTGGCACTCTTCCCGGCTGAGGCAGTCGCTCCCCGGCCATTGGACAGCCGCTCATGGCCCCTCACAGCAGCTCACGCTGGCTGCTGACCACTCACAGTAGCTCACAGCAGCCCACTGCAGCCCCCCTGCAGGCTATGCTGTCCCCGGCAAGTCACAACAGCCCATCTCCATACCAAGCTGTTGTTCAGCATCTTAGCTGTAGAGGGCGCAGCGTCACTGGCCCTCTATGTGGGATTCGAATCGGTGGCCCTGCTGCTAAGAGTTCTCAAGCCAACTCTTAATCAACGAGCCACTCGGCCAGCCCTGATCTTTTGGTTCACATATTTATTTCATTTTTATTTATTTCAAGTATTATTGTGTTTTCTATTTGCCATGTACTCTGTTTCTTTTTTTCTTATTACTTGCTTCTGTTGGATTGATAGAATTTTATTCATCCCTTTTCTCTCTTTGAAAATGTGTGCATTGTATATTGTTTTTTTCACCCCTTAAGAACACTCAAATGTCAAATATTTCATAACAGAATCTAAAGTTATCGTGTGAGTATATGATACATACTATAAGCAACTATTGCTTTTATCTAAATCCTCTTTGATCTTTTATGTATTCCCCCCTTTTTTTAAACACAAATATTTAATTCTCCTTTCCTTTTAAACACAAAGATTATGTTCTTTACTTTATAGTCAGTATTTAATTATAATACTAATATGTTCATGACTTTTTTCTGAAATTTTGCTTCTTATAATATTTTCCTACCTTTATTACACAAATTCTCATGCCACAAAGAGAAATAATGATATCCTTAAGAGCTGTGGCATGTTCAAGGTATAAAAAAAGAAAGTTATTCTCCCTTGTGATATTTTCCTGGGTGTTTTTTTCTTATTTTCCAAGGTATTTTGTTTTCTGTGTCCTGGATGGTCTTTTGTATTTCCTGGGGCCAAGAGGACAAATAAGCTATATAACTTATGAGGATTCATTTAGCTTATTTTCAAATATTATGACTAACTTATGAAGAAATTTGAGATTTGACTTTTTATACTCAATGATATTATCTAAAAATACTTACATATCAGAGTTCTCTAGAAGACTAGGTTTTTTTTTTTTTTTAACCCCAAAGAAGCCACCATAACAAGTATTCAAGTGCAGTTTTGGGTTGTTTTGGAATAATTCCAATATAATAATTTACAATTTTCTTAACAGTCAATGTTTTAACTCTCACTGTTTAAAAACTTGTGGTTTTATAATGATTGTTTTTTTTATTAAAATAGTAACTGTTGATTAATTTTCTGCACTGACTTAGAAGTTCTTACAAATGCACTAGGATCAGAAAACAAAATATTTGGTATAAATTGTAGAAAAGAAAATATAAAACATTTGTTTTACAATAAAATTGAAATCCTAGAAAGTACAAGAGATTTTAGTTTAAAAAATAAAATTAAGAAACAACTTTGTTAAGTGATTGGATACAAGATGACTATCCAAAAGTCAGTGAGTATTTATTTTATAGGTATTAAAGATTTAGAAGTAGAAATAAATGGGTAGGCAGATAGCTAACATAACACCTTAAGTATTCAACAACAAAGCGATGATAGGTTTGGGGAAAATAATACTTATAAGTGCAAGTGATATGATAGAGTTTAGGGCCTCTTGTAAATTGACAAGACAAAGACTACTCAAATTAAAATTAGCAGAGTATATGAATAGGCAGTTCACCCTAGGGCCTTTCAAATGGTACTGAATTATTGGAAAAGATGTTGATGCATGAACAGATAAAATAAAAGTAGATAATTATCATATTTATCACTTGCAAAACAAAAGATATGTACAATCTGTTGCTGGTGGGGATGTGGCAATCATGTACTATTGGTTAGTACTGTTTACTTGTAAATTTTACATCTTTCTATTATATTTATCACATGTCAAAGTACATATATCTTACACTTCAGATATCCCAAGTCTGTAACACTATCTCTTATAAAAGAAGGTATCACTAAATAGGGGTATGTCTATACAAGTGTTTATTGCAGCATTATTCATAGTGACAAAAAAACGAAATGAAGAGAGTACCCACAATAGAGGAACGTTGAAATAATTATGGTACCACCATAGCATGGTGTTTTATACTATCAAAAAGATTGAATAGATTTATACCAGCTAGCTTAAAATAATTTCCACAAAGTATTTAAGTGTGAAAATCAACACACTTAAGTTGTGCATAATTTTTAATTGCAAAAAAAATGCATGTATAAATATATTTGTAAGGGGCCTGTCGAGTAGTACATTGGTTAGGAGTTAGCTTGGGATGCCAGCTCTGAGCAGCAGGGCCCAGCTTGGATCCCACATGGGCCAGTGACACTGACCTCTACATCTAAGATGGTGAACAAAAGCACGACCTGGAGCTAGGCTGCCATGAGTCACTGGCAACAGCGTAGGCTGCAATGGGGCTGGTCGACAGCTGGAGTGCGCTTGCATGAGCTGCCATGAGCCTCCATGAGCGGCCATCCAATGGCCGGCGAGTGACTGCCTCACCCGGGAAGAGCGCAATGATAATGCCAACATGGGCCAGTGAAGCGACATCCTCCACAACTAGACTGAAGAACAAAAGGACAGCAACTTGTCTGCTCCCCTTCCCCAATTCCCCAACACTGTTTTCCCCTGATTCCCCAATAAAATCTTTTTATATATATATATGGTATATGTTCACTAATAACTACTTAGGTTTGGATAAAATAATGAAAGACATATCCTAACTGTTTCATTTAGGTTTTCTAGAGTGGAGTGATGAGAATGGGGTAGATAGGACTAGAAATTTGGCTGCCCTAAGGGAAACAAAGAAGCAAAAAAACACACAAAACCTAGCAACAATGTTATCTCATTTATATAGTTATCTATAATGAAAAATACGGCAATGTAAAGACAATAATTTAATTTCTACCTTGAACGAAGTTAATGTGTCTCAAGATTGTTTGGTGAGATGAGTTTTAAATCATTGGGAAATGGTAGATGCCAGCAACACCTTATTGGGAATTTTTTTTTCTGTTTCCATTCCTCGTTTATTCAGTTCTTTAGATTCCACATATAAGTGAGATCATACAGTATTTGTCTTTCTCTGATTGACTTATTTCACTTAGCATAATGTTCTCTAGGTTAAGAAACTGTGGTACATTTATTGGGAATTTTAACATGAAGTTCAAATTTAGCAACTAAAAGATACCAGTGTTCAGGTCCTCCCCAAGTACATTCCCATTCATTCAATATTTCATTACTATAGCAGCAGCAACAAGCAAGTACTCAAAGATCTACAGCAGGTGAAAAATTTACAAATAATTCTACCCACCACTGAAACAGGACTCCTAAAACTATTCCCCTGCTACTAAACAGTGGTGGTTATATTTTGAAATAAGCATCCAGAATAAAAGGAAACAAAATAGTGTGGAAAGTTCATGTGTTTTAGACTTAGGTAGGCTTCAGTTTTATTCTAGCCTTTATTACTACTATCTGTAATCAAGAATATGTTATGACAATAAACCCACATTTATTACCTCTCCTTTAATCTGCCTGTCATATACATGTGTTTAGCTGTCAGTACCAATCAGATGGCTTGGATAAGCACAGGTGAGCCACCAGAGGAGTTTGTCATAGCAAAAATTAGTGACCTTGAATTAGATATTTTCCTGTTTCCTCACCCCTAGCATGAAGATAATAACAATACTACTCACAAGATTATTGTGACAATTCATTAGGTAAAGCACTAATTAGGGTACTATACACATAAAAAGTGTTGACTAGAAACAAAAGAATCATAAATTAATATTCAATTCAGTCATGGAGCATAGAGTTAGGGAAAAATGCTTAGTCAAACTTCAACTACTCAGAACTAATATTTTGGACATTGTGGTATGCGTGTATGCTATCATGATAAAGATTAAATGTTATGTATCATCAAAGAAAATTGTCCACATTGAAAAGTTAGAAATAATGAAAAGATAGTAATAAAAAGCAGCCTTAGAAATTTAAAAACTATTCTAATTACAGCCATTAATGAGAGTTACCAACCATGTGTTCTTTATTAATTCATACAGCATATCATTTTTTATGTGCATTTCAGCATACCAGCATTACTTTCTGTACAACTCTAGGTAAATTGTTTGCTCTCTCATTGCTTCCATTTCCTCAGAATATCAATAAGGATCTTTACTAGAGAAACTCTAACTTCTATTTAAGTTTTAAAATACTATGACTTTATGACCACAAATGAGCTTAATTCCCAGATTTCTACTCTGAGCCAACACTTAAGAGAATCATAGAAGATCTCCTGTCTGTGTCTATGTATTTATTTTCTGATTCCTAAATCTTCTTTCTCCTTCTTCTCATCTGTCATCTCCATTAATTCTTCAAGTTTCTCCTCCAAGTATTTCTTTAATGACCTTCGTATTGCTTCATTTCCTTCCGATGAATGACACAAATATAGAATCTAGAGTAGATAAACCAGATAATTCCAACTTCAATGTTAGTAACCCCACTCTTGAAAACAGTTATGCAATTGTATTTTATTCCTTTTCTGGATAACTCTCCAAAAGTTTCCTCCTACTTCAGTTATACCTCCTCCATTTTCCTTGTTTCAACTTTCATCCCACCATACTTCCATTCTCTTCATTCCTGTCACTATCATATCCCAAATTTTGAATTGACTTCTTTTTCATATTTGCATTGAAAAGAGGGAGAGACTGGGCAGTCTCTTTTCCAAAGGAGTGCTTGACCCAGTGTTTGTTTGGAGGGAGGAAAACTCACAATAACAAAGCACTTCCCAATATTATGGCTTCTGCGAACAATATCAGAAATAGTGCAATTTCTCGATTTTCAGTCTTCCTTGAATCCTCTTTTGGAAAGAGAAAGGAAACAAAGAAAGGGACTTTTGGAGAAGAAAAACAGTAAGTTGAGAACTTTATTCATAATAGAAGATTCTTCTTAACCTCAAACTATTTGTTCTGTTCACCACTTCCATTACTGTTTTCTAATTAGTGTGATCTTTATCATTCTTAGAACCTTAGGCTCAACAAAACTTTTGTCCTTACTGCCTCTAGACTAATTTCTCTACATTTAGTCCAGGCTTTTTATTTCTCATCCCTTCAGGTTGTCCAATGACCAGTAATTCATACTGGTACAAATTTTGCCCAACAATTTAGCTTTTATTTGTAATGTTAGCATGACCTGTGTAGAAGATGCTCAACAAATATTTGTTGAATAAATCAATGAACAGCTCATTACCTTGATCCCTGACCCCTCAAAATACCACACCACAATCTTTGTTACCTCCACAATACTCTCCTTTGAAGCACTGGGTGGTGATGCGAAGACAGGTCCAACAATCCAAGGTAGGACCTTCAGTCACGACTGATAAAGAAAGACAGTTAGAGCGGGGCCATGGCACAGAGTTTCCTTAGCTCAGACATCTAGTATGGACTAGGTCTCAGTCATGTCCAGGATTCTTAAGGTTACATCACTGTGAATTCCTTCTTCCCCTTGCAACCAAGTTTTCTGATGGGTCAAAACCTTCTGTAATTTAAGTCAGATCTCAGGAGAAGAAGTGGGAAAAATGATGTCTTAACTTACATTGGTGTGATGGGTTGCAAGCTATACTTTAGGAGGCCTCTGAGAACCTCCAAAATCTGTGAGGTATCTGAGATTTCATAAGGTAGATTTTGTTGTCCGATATCGTTGACATTCCTCCTTGGAACTGCAACTCTAGGAATTGGGTTCTCAGTGTGACAGGTGGGAGATATAGGACCATACAGAACAAAGGATATGGGAAGATATGACCTGAAACCTCAAGGCATCCAGTGCACTGTACTCACCACAATCTTCAGAACAAGCTAAAAGAGAATCAGAAAGTTCTAAGCTCAGAATCAACTTAGAGTTAGTCATAGTTTAACCCAAGTAGTCATTATTTGATTACCCATTAAGTTCCAGCCATCCCTCTACCGATCCTAAATCACTCTAAGGTGAAACCACATTCGTCCTCTCACCCCTCACTTATTATTTCTTTCACATAATTTCAGTGTTGTTAGATAGCCATCTTTTATTACCAACTTCAGAGAAGTTCTTTAGTACTTCTTTCAGTTTGGATTCCAGGTTTCGGCGGACATCGATAATCTTGCCTTGAAGGATTAAGGCGCCTAAGAGGAGGGTGGAAGGGACATCATAAAATAAGGGTGGCCCGGGCGGGCTGAGTGGCTCAGTTGGATAAGAGCTCACTCTAAAGGTTTGAGCTCTGAGCAACAGTGGTTCAAGTCCAGCCTGAGCTGAGCTGCCAACAGGTGGCAGGATGGCTCAGCTAAAAAAATAATAATAATAAAAAATAAGGGTGGCCCTTCCCTTCAAAATTTAATTCTAATTGTTTTGTCTTGTTTTCCCCCTAAGGAATTTCCTCATACCAGCTTGGGCAATACAATCTTTTAACATTGAAACAGTACCTCACCTTTCCATGTTTCATTGCCCAGTTTATACAGTTCATTCTTCAGCCATGTTCTCAAATTGACAACCTTTTCAACAGCTAGAGAAGAGACTTAAAGTTACAAATGGGGGAATAATTACATTGGCAGAGGACATTATATGGACTCAGGTGCTCTCTTCCCTGCCCCCCTTCTCCCTTTTACCCTCAAAACTCTCAGGGACTGAACCTCCCTCACCCAACACCCGAAGCGTCTTGTTCCCGTGGGAGATCTTGAAGCTTAAATTGATCATCTCCTTAATCTACCGTTCAAGGAGATGAGTTCGGCCAGGGACTTCTGAGGGTACCAGATTTGACACCAAGGACTTAACATCCTCTATGAATTTAGGGTCACATTCCAAGCAGCCTATGACCCCATGGGAGGCTGCCAGGGACAGGGGCAGGAGCAGGCACCACCATAGGTCTCCCATTTCCTTGCCCCAGCAGCCCTGGCCCCAACAACAGGTTGTCCTGGCAACTAGTTCACCTATTCTTCAGAAATCCAAGAATAAGAACCTTGTCCTAGATAATCTGACTCCATCTTCCCCTCCATTTCCATCCCACTTCTAGGCAATTTCATTTCCTTAAGGATCTTCCGTTATTTTCTGACTTTTCCCTTAAATTCAGAGAGAAGGAACTGCCAGCGGGGGAGCAGATACCTGAGTTCTGAGCATAGAATACAAAGAGAGTGAAAGCCTTGAGCTCACACAAGCAGGGCTCCATGCAGGGAGGTATCTTAGAGAAAGTGTTTCTTTAGGTCTCTGCCTTACTTGTGTCTTTAGTAAAGTCCCCCACCCATCCTGACCATTGGGGTCATAGCTCAAGGAAGAGATCTCATGGAACCTTAGAGACTGCTTAACCACAACCCTGCTTCTAGAGAGGAGATAAGAGAAACCCAGAATATTGAGTTTCTTAGGGTCCCAGTCCCTGATGGTAGCAGTATTATTGAAAATTAGCAGTGGTGTCTATATATAATTTACATCATTGATAATAATAATTTTAATATAATTGACAATTTCTCAGACATTTAGGCTAGGCTACCTTTGTAAGATGATTTCTCTAGCCATGCTGGGTAACCTTTTTATATCATTTTTCTTATAGAGAGTCTGGAGCAAAGAGACAAGAAACAACCATTGAGGAATATATGAGAATCCAGTAATAGGGTTCTTTAGCAGGTTTATCTTAAAAGTACTGATGATGAAGTATGTGACATATAACAAAATAACCACAGTTATTGTGGGCTGACCTCTTAAGTCGCCTACATGGAAGGTTGCCAAATAAACATGTGGTTCCTTTTATTTAAGGCTTTTTGAATAAGAATGTTCTTTGACATTTGAAGAAATTAAGTCTGCTTTGCAAACTTTTTAGAGAAGTTATTTGGTTTCTATTGGGTTGCCGAAAAAATCATAATGTATTTTGTCTATATTTTTCAAAGGTCATTTGTTTATATAAAGAACAAAGGTCAATCGATATATTGCCCATTTTATTTGATAACCTTTTGCCATCTTTCAGTGAGCTTCATAATTCCTCATTCATAGAAGGACCTGTCTTTATTTGTGAAAAACTGAACAAGCTGCTGATTTACAACCTCATCTGAATTGAATGTTATACCATGCAAGGAGTTTTGAAGAGAGCAAAACAAGTGAAAGTCTGACGGCGCAAGGTCAGGTGAGTATGGTAGGTGTGGCAACGCATCCCATCCAAGCTCCAGTAAATTTGATGGGTGATCAAACTTGTGTGAGGTCTTGCATTGTCGCAATGGAACACAACTTCTTTACAATTAATAAGCTCTGGATGTTTCTGGATGATGGATTTGTTCAAACTGTCCAATTGTCAACAGTACATATTTGAATTGATTGTTTGATTCCTTGGTAGGAGCTCAAAACACGTGACACCTTTAAAATCCCACCACACAGAGCATAACCTTCCTCTGATGAATGTCTGCTTTTGATGTCGTTTGAGGCAAATCATCACGTCAGGACCAAGATGGTTTGTGCACCACGTTGTAAACAATCCACTTCTCATCACCAGTTACCAGTCGCTTCAAAAAAGGATCGTCTTCCTCACATTTAATTAACATATTGCAGATGTTTATATGCGCCATCAAATGAACTTCTTTGAGTTCATGTGGAACCCAAATATCAAGCTTGCTTACTTATCCTAGCTTCTTCAGGTGATCGTGAACACTTGAATGATGGATGTTCAATGTTTCTGCAATCTCTTGTGTCATGGAACATGGGTTTGACTCAATGGATTTATTTTGTCGTCATCAATCTTGGTTGGCCTCCCTGACTAAGGATTGTCATTGAGATCAAAATCACCAGCACGGAATTTTGTGAACCATTGTTGGCACTGACGTTCTTGTAGAGCATTGTCACCATAAACTTTATGCAACTTTTTACAAGCTTGATACACGTTCTTCCCTTTATGGAAGTAAAACAGTTAAATATGGCAAAAATGCACAGTTTGGTCTCCCATCTTCAACTTGTAAAATCTCCAAAACTCAACCAAATTGCTCAATTTTTGTTTAGAATGAAGCTAGAACTGTCAGCTGTCAAATGACATAGCAATAACATAGATGCAAATGATTCTAGTACTTCCAAAAGTGAACTAGTGCCATCTGTTGCAAATATGTGTCATGACTTTTCTGACAACCCAATAATATATTCCTTGTATGACTATGACCTCCTGGAAATCAAGAAACTGTGGAATCCTAAAATGTTAGTGGTAGAATTTAGACCCAGGATATGGGAGAGTCATGTAGTAGCAGGTTGTGAGGGAAGTTAAAAGAACTACCACTAATTGTGTACCTACTCTGTGCCAGATATACATTAAACACTTCAGATAGATTATTGCAAGTATGGCACAGCAATACTTTGAGAGATTGTCTCTGGGATAATACAGATAATGTTCTCTTGAAATTTGATAAATCAGAAGATGGAGGGGGGATTCAAATCCTTTGATGCTCCAAAATTGGCACCTCTCTGCTCTGATTTGATTTTCCCCTGGCTAGATGATCTCATCTTTAGATGATACCCCAAAGGATTTTACATGCTGAGGTCTGCAGGTACAGGATAATAGGATTAAGTTATCGGTGGAAACCAAAGCTGTAGACAAAGAGGGCTTAGAAACTTGGCAGGCAAGTGGGCAGGTATAAGGAAAAACTGTTCTTCTGGACAAGTATATGTTATAGATGAGATGTTTTCCAGTTGATACACAGATTGTCCAATTTAAAGAGAATGCTCTTTCATATGACTCAATAATTCTATTCCATGGCACATTATCTTGATCCAGACCAAGTGGCTCATCTACCATTTTTTACCTTTTCCTGACCCTTCCAGCAATCCAAGAATTTTAGGATGAGAGAAAAACTAATTTGACTTTTGGATAGTCTTGAAAAGAGTGGAAATAGCAAGCCATTTTCTACAACGACAGGTAGAGCTTGTAATTGAAAGGAACATATAAAAGGGAAAATAATGGAGGAACTATCACTCTCATGGAATAAACATAACAACAGAGGGTGCTAATGGTAGAGGCAGAGGTACACGCAGAGATCTATGGAAAAACAGAACAGCACTGTGTCTGAAGGACTTTCTTATAGAGAGGCTGGATCCAGGAGAGTAGAAACAATAGTCAGTGAATATATGGTCATGAATGAGAACCCAGCAATATTCAGGAGACTTTAAGAGAAGCATCCTGAAAGTAATGATGATAAAGTATATAACATATACAGAAGTAGCCACAGTTATCATGGGCTGCCAGTCCTTTGTATTTCATAAATGTAAAAAGTTTGGACTTTGGAAAAGAAGAGCTGTCTGGAAATTGATTAATAATGCAATTATCACATTACTTAATTAAAATGATGATACTTGTGTGGGAGGCAAAAGGCTAATACCCAAGTTCTTCATTGATTATGATAACATTTGGATTAGATGGGCATGGAGGGGATATATGATTTATAGTCAATGTGAAAATCTGTAGAATAGCTAAATGAACTCTATGGACTTAAAGTAGTATAACAGATAACATAGTAGCACATGCATTCATAATATTATACCAAATATATATTTACTCATTTGTGGTTCTTACACAGATAAGATATAAATGGATAGTATTGTATACTTTTATGTCTTTGTCCTCTAAAACAGTTAGACAGTGCTAACAATTAGAGTCCTCCGTTTTAAGGGCTAGAATCAGTTGTAGTATTTGGCCTTTGTTACAAATTGTATAATGCACTGAGGTTTAAAATCTGAAGAATAATTTTCATAAAGAAGAACAAGAAGCTTCTTACAGTAATTTTCCCTTATTCTTTAGTAGATCTGCTTCCCAGATCCATACAAAAAGTAAAAATAATGAATCTCTCTTGCTCCAGCTTCTGTAGCTTCTTTTCTTGTGGATTATGTGTTCCCACTGAGCCTTGCTGCCTTGCTTCCCACCCCTATTACTTCATAGCATTCCGTAGAAGTTTGGCCAATAATCTGGATACCTCTGTTTTTTTTTTAATGTTTTTATTATTGGGGAACTGGGGAATGGGAACAGTATTGGGGAACTGGGGAAGGGGAACAGCCAAGATGTTGTCCTTCAATCTTAGTTTTGGAGGGAGCAGCTGCCTCAGCTCCAAATCCAGTCGCCATCCGGCTGCCTGTCGGCAGCTCACAGCCACGTAGCTCAAGGTGCTGTGTTCAGTCTTAGTTGCGGGTGGGTGTAGCCCACCATCCCAGGCAGGAGTTGAACAGGAAACCTTATTGTTGGGAGCATGTGCTCTCACCAGCTGAGCCATCCTGCCACCTGTTGGCAGCTCACCTTGGGCGCAGCTCACTGGCCCATGTGGGAATCCAGCCAGCAACCCTGTTGCTCAGAGTTTGCGCTCTTAACCAACTGAGCCACTCGGCCAGCCCCAGATACCTCTTGTAGTCACAGTGAGGTTAATGAGGTTAACCTCCTCCCTGACTGTAAACTGAGATTAGGAAGCCATTACTTGCCTTTTGGCCATGTTAAAAGGTATCTGTGTAGGTGGCATAATAATCACAGTTATAAATGGTGAAATGATTACTATATGCCAGATACTGCCCATGTAAAATAATTTTAACATTTTCTATATACCCGACCATTTATATTCCATTGTCATTATACTAATTTCTCTCTCCATCTTTCACTCATCATTGAGAAAAGCCATGAGGTTGGAGCCTGGAAGATTTTGAAGGAAACTCTGATAGGAGATGAAACTTAAAGAAAAGACGATTCCATCAGCAGGGATTGTGGGAAGAACAGGGGAGAGGAGTAATGGAAGCAGAAGATGCATGGCACAACCTCTTCTGTATAGCATGTTTCCATGTTAGATAGGTTAGAGGAAATACTGGGGGGAGAGGAGCTTTTGCTGTCCATCCTTTAGGAGAAGTGAGGACTACACCAGTTATTCACATGTGCACAA